GTTAGAAAGGAAGATGTAAACTGTCACTGTTTACAGATGACATGATACTATACTTAGAGAATCCTACAGATGTCACCAAAAAACTACTTGTGAGCTCATCAATGAATTTTATAAAGTTGCAGGGTACAAATTAACATATAGAAATCTGTTGCACTTCTATACACTAACAATGAACTATCAGAAAGAGAAATTCAGAAAACAATCTTACCATTGCATCAAAAACAATAAAATACCTAGGTATATAGAAATAGGAAGGTAAAAGAACTGTGCTTGGAAAACTGTAAGACACTGATGGAAGAAATTGAAGACAATACAGACAGATGAAGGGAAACGCTGTTTTCATAGATTGGAAGAATTCACATTGTTAAAATAATCTTACTATCAAAGGCAATCTACAGAATCAGTGCAATTCCTGTCAAAATATTGACATTTTTCACAGAACTAGAACAATTAAATTTGTATGAAACCACAAAAGATCACAAATTGCCAAAACAATTTTGAGAAAGAAGAAAAAAGCTGGAGATACCAATGTTCCCTGATTTTAAACTATAGTACAAAGCTGTAGTCATCAAAACAGTGTGTTACTGGCACAAAAGCAGACACATAGATATGGAAGAGAATAGAGAGCCCGGAAATGAACCCATGCATCTGTAGTCAGTTAATCTACAACAAAGGAGGCAAGAATATACAATGGGGAAAAGACAGTCTCTTTGATAAATGGTGTTGTGAAAGCTGGATGGCTATATGCAAAAGAATCTAACTGGACTACTCCCTCACACCATGTACGAAAATAAATTCAAAGCAGGTTAAATATTTAAATATAAGACCTGAAATCGTAAAACTTCTAGAAAAAACATAGGCAGTATGCTCTTAGTCTTAGTAATGTATTTTGGGATCTGTCTCCTGCGGCCAGGGAAACAAAAGCGAAAATAAACAAATTGGATTACATCAAACTAAAAAGCCTTTGCATGGTGAAGGAAACTGAATAAGATGAAAAGGCTGCCTACTGAATAGAAGAAGATATTTGCAAATGCTGTATCTGCTAAGGAGCTAATATTCAAAATATACAAAGAACTCATACAACTGAACATCAAAAACAAACCTGATTTAGAAAATGGACAGAGGATCTGAACAGATTTTTTTTCCAATAAGATATACAGGAACATAAAAAGATGTTTAACATCACTAATCATCAGGGAAATGCAAACCAAAACCACAATGAGACATCTCACACTTTTCAGAATGGCTATTATCAAAAAGATAACAGCTGTGTTAGTGAGGAGGTGGAGAAAAGGAACCCTGGTGCACTGTTGGCTGGAATGGAAGTTGGTGCGGCCGCTATGGAGAATAGTATGGAAATTCCTCAGAGAACTAAAAATAGAATTGCCACATGATCCAGTAGTTCCACACCTGGGTATTTATCAGAAGAAAACAATAAAACTAATTAGGAAAGATATACACCCTGTGTTCATTGCAGCATTATTTACAGTAGCCAAGGTATGGAAACACTCTAAGTGCCCATCAATGGAGGAATGGATAAAGATGTGGTGTGTGTGTGTGTGTGTACACACATGCACACAAACACACAATGGAATATTACCCAGCCATTAAAAAGAATGAAACATTGCCATTTGTGACAAGGGTGGACCTAGAGGATATTATGCTTGGTGAAATAGGTCAGACAGAGAAAGACAGATACTGTATGATTTCATTTATATATGGAATCTAAAAAACAAAACAAATGAACAAACATAACAAAACAGAGTTATAGATAGAGAGAACAAACAAATCGTTTCCAGAGGGCGGAGAGGGAAGAAATAGGTGTGGGATTAAGAGTTACAGACTTAGGGTTGCAAACAAACAATTTGGTGGGTGTGAAATGTGCAGTGTGAGGCATTTAGTTAACTGTGTGATAGCCCTGCAGGCGATCTGTAGTAACTAGACATCATGGTGATCATTTTGAGATGTACAGAAACAATGAATTACTGTGTTGTGTGACAGGAGCTAACACAGCATTGCAGGGCGATTATGCATCAAAAAGAAACTAAGGGAGAAACAGGAGATTCATGGTTACCAGAGGTGTGGGCTGGGGGGGTTGGATGAAGGTGGTCAGAAGGTACAAATTCCAGTTGTAAAATGAATACATACCAGGGATGTGATATGGTAACAACATGATAGATGTAATTAATACTGCTGTCTGTTACATATGAAAATTCTTAACAGGTTAAATCTCAAGAGTTCTTATCACAAGGAAAAAAAATTTTATTTCTCTAATTTTGTGTCTGTCTGAGACAATGGATGTTCACTATATCTACTATGATAATTGTTTCATGATGTATGTAAGTCACATTGTTATCCTGTACAGATTAAACTTACACGGTGAGGTATATAAATTATATTTCAGTAAGACGGAAAGAAAAAATTAAAAGTACATTGTATAATTTAATTATTGCTCTGACAAAATCCTCTCAGAAGTGTAGCGAAGTGATTATTTAAGGCTTTTTGTTGTCTAGTCTCACAGAAGATTTTCAGAATTGAAGAGCTGTGGGGTGCCAGAGTAGTCTTTTACTCAGACAGTATGAGTTAGATTTTTAAAACATTAAATTTGAAGCCGCAGGGTCTTTAGAACTGGTCCCTGTAATCTGCGTTTGTCTAGGGCCTCAGTGCGCTGCAGCCGCAGGCTCCTGGGTTTCTGTCTGCGAGGCCGCCTCAGTGTCCTGGGGGCCAGAACGCCTGATGAGTGAGGGGCTTGCTCTTCGCCTGCTGTTTCTTACTGGGTCTTGACCCTGACTCTCAAGGTACCAAGTTGAGTCCCGTAAAAAGTTGTAATGAGAGCGCTCTCCCGTTGTTCACACACACCTTCCGTTCCTGCTGTATGGGCGCGTCTGCCCCCAGCCTTCCCTCGTGTGGCGCTGTCGCGGCGTGGTCCGTGGGCCCAGCTCTAGGTGATGGCCGAGTTACTGTTCAGCACACACCAGTGGTTTCCGAAGTCAGGTTTGTTCCCCACGGATTCACAAAGAAAGTCACTGGGCTGTGTGAAAAAACTATTGAGAACTTGTGTTTGTCTTTATTGTTGTAATTTTAAAAGTCTTTGTTTTGTATGTATACAGTACGTATGTCGGTGAATAGTGCATATTTAGTTTGTAATAACTGAAATACATATATAATGGGTACACGTATTCTAATTTCATCTTTGCTAATCGTTGTCTTCGATCAACAACTTTTGAGACCAGGTTAAGACCCTTTTGGAGTATCTGGGCAAGGGTTTTATTCTGTGGTTTGCCAGTCCCTCTGTAAATGAGCTTCACAACATGCACAGTTGTGTGTGCGTGCACACACGCACATATGTGTTTTTCTTGTGAAAAGATCTGTGGCCTTCCCCAGATTCTCAGGAGTCTTTGGCCCTGAAGATCAAATAAACTGTTTATCTGGGATCCCTGAGCCGTGAAAATACTGACGTCTGTTTTGGGAGGACAGTGCCTTGTTTACAGATAACTTCCCAGGTTAAATTAAATGGTACCTCATTTTAAAAATAATATATATAATTAGATACATATATTCCTTTTAACAAAATTCAGCCTCATTAAGGCTTCTGTCTGAGAAACTGCCACTGGGATGGTTGCTGTGACCTCATGACACGACCTGCCCTGCGTGCTCTGCTGGGGTCTGGTCCCTCTTACCTTCCTTTACCCACCGTCCTGTACAGACATTTTATTGTACGCTTTCATTAATTTTATATTTCTCTTCTCTTTAAAACATTATGGTGGATCGTTGTCCCTGAGCTTTGTATACCCTGGCCCTGGAACGATGAGGCTACAGAAGAGCTGCTTTTTGAAACCCACTGGTTTTCTCTTGTCCTTGTAGGCTGCTTCTATGGGGTCTGCCTTACAGTGGGTGATGTGATTTCACTGAGTGAGCATGAGCGTTAAGTCTAGAAGTCGGTTGATGAGGGGAAGCTGAGTTCAGTCAGTTATTCTTGAAATCCTTAGACCACCCATAAAATTAAAGGTACATGGGTTTGTTTACACAGTCCTTTGTGGGTAAAATTTCACATGGCCCAAGTAGCTCTTCAGTTTCTTCCTTAGAGAATGTCAGCATTTCTGGCGTCTCTCACTTGACTGTCCACCTGAATGTTTTTTTACTTACTCAGTTTTTTTTAAAATAAAAGACTTATTTTTACATGTGAACAGGTGAGTTTTAGGTAACGTCAAAGCAGATGTGATGGAACCACACTGCATTTCCAGCTTTTCGTTTATCCCACAGCCCTGTGGCTTCCAGTTCAGATGGACAATGTTTGTGGGATTTTTCCCCCTCGGAAAGGAACCCCCCTATTTGTTTATTCGCTGCGTATTAAGCTGGAGCACACGCAGAGCACCGCTCTGGGCACTGGGGTTACAGGAGAGAAAACCACCGAGTTCCTGTTCGCACAGGACTTAACAAGCCAACGCGCGAGCTAGGCCGCAAGCGAGCCGGCAAGGGGAAGACGTGCTTCGGCAGCATGCGCTGTGAAGAAACCTTGTCAGGGCAGAGGGCCTCGGAGGGGCAGCTGCTTGGGGGGGAAGCGGGTGCCCTCTCCGAGGAGGTGGCGCGAGCAGGGGCCTGTGCGGAGAGAGGACGGGGTGGGGGCGGGGGTTCGTCGGGTGTCTGTCCATCACGACCCTGTTTCCTGTGTCACCTGAGCGGGCGCGCTGTGGTCCCCGCAGAGCAGCACCGGGGCCCTGGCCAGTGTGAGTGCGAGTCCTGAGCGAGTGGCGGGGTGCCCGCCGCTGCCCGCTGCAGGAGTGGGCAAAGTCGGTCAGGGCTGTGAGGCTTTCCCGCAAGATGACAATCGTGGAGCTTTAAACGGGGTGCCCACTAACAGAAGTGAGGAAGTCCCTGGAATCTGAGCTGTCTGATTTGTACTTTATTATGTTTTGTGTGTGTGTGTGTGTGTGTGTGTGTGTGTGTATATATATATTGTACCTAATTTTATTAAGGGCTATTTTATTTATTTTTAACAGGAATCACTAGATTTGATCTACTTGGAGACTTTGGAAGGTTTAATTGGCTGGGAAATTTCTATATCGTGTTGTCCTACAATTTGCTTTTTGCTATTGTGACAACACTGTGTCTGGTCAGAAAATTCACGTCTGCTGTGCGAGAAGAGCTGCTCAAGGCCCTAGGTAATCCCGAGCTCCGTGGGCGCTCTTCCTGCTTATTAACGGCGTTGACCTTTCAGCTCATCTGAAGTCTGCAGCTGCTTACTTTCCAGATGTGTAGAACCTTGGAGGCCGCACCCCTGACCACTGCTTATTGATCATGCTCTTGTGTAAAACGACTTCACTGAGCCTCACCTTCCTCGTATAAAACGGTGGTGATCCGTTCTTTTAGGACGTTGTGAGTGTTAACTGGAATACTTCTCCGGAGGGCCAGGGTGTGATCCTGCCACACCGTGAGAGCTCAGTGAACAGTAGCTGTCTTGTGATGATGGTGACGGTAGTTGTGACGAGGTGAGGAGGAGCTTGTGCTAACGGCTTCTATTCTGGTAGTGGTACCTCTTATTTTTTAGTTAAATTGTTCTTGAGGATTGGATTTTATAAGTATCAGGCTGACCCAAATTATAATTCTCTTCAGTAAGTCAGGTAGTAATTCAGGATAAAAATCTTAGCATCCTTGGCGTCAGTAGAGAGGGCACTTGTCACCATGTGTTCCCTGAGTCACGTGCACTGTGACACTAGTAAAACCTCACGGGCTTGGCTGAGGTCTGAAGGGTGTAACTGTAACCTTTGAACGTATTTGCCACACTTGCTTCAGCGTCAGTACTAGACACATTTCAGGCTTTGTGTTTTAGGAATACCAGGACAATGTAAACTGTCTTGCTGGGTAAACCCCCTTGGGTTTAGGGTGTGTAATTTTATAAAAGAAGGGAAAGGCAGTGAGTTATTGTAGAAAGTCCTGCCAGGAGCTCATTTAGCTGGACTGGCATCATTTGAATGCTCGCATTTCACGTCCCTTCGCAGCTTTTAGCTACTGTGGGAGGTGGCATGATGGTTGATCCATCATGTCCTGCTTTCAGATGGCTTAAACCTGATGAACAGCAGCAGTGCTTGGCACACCACTAGGCCTTTCCAGCCCCGATGGTTGAAAGGGTGACCTCTGGGGAGGAAAAGGGATTTCACATTATCTATTCATGTGTATTTTACTTTAACTTTACCCTGAGAGCAGGGTGGCTGATGAGATGTTGGCCCGAAAGGGAAAAGTTACATCTTATTTCAACTGAAGCACGAGAGAGTTTATGAGTTTTATTGCTTAGGCTCCCTGGTGCTGGTCAGATTAAAGTCTAAAGACGAAGTGGTCATCAGACAGCCCTCTCAGCCACGTGTCTAGAGTTAAGTTTCATTTTTAAGCCTGTTGTAGCATCAGTAATATTAGCCATAATCTCAGATAAATTCCTGCTCACGGCTCATGGAAGTGAGATGGTAGTAAACGCCTTGCAGGGAGCGTAGCATCTGAGCTGGGTGTTCTAGGCATCACCTTGCTAAGGAAGCCTTTGTGAAAGCAGCACCAGCACGATAGGGTTTAACCTCAGGCGAGGCTGTGTGTGTCGTGTCGGCCCTGCAGCCACAGGAGGCAGTGGAATTGCCGAGGGTCGTGTGAAACATCTGATAGGCGGTCTTTCCCCGACGTGTCTCCTGTTACTGTCGGGGTGCTCCAGGGAGGCAGCGCCTCCGACCTGGCGGGGGCCTGCGTGAAGCGCATGCAGCGTGCAAGTGACCTGAGGTCATAAATGAGATTTCACTGGATGTCATAATTCGATTATAAAATTTAACTTTCCCCCCGTTTTTTCCTTCTTCGTGTGTGTGTGCGCGTGCGTGCGTGTGCATGCGCGTGTGTGGCCCTGTTCAGCGAGGCTGTGGTCCTCCTCGCCTGCTTCCTTCTCCGGCCGGCCTGGGTGATGTGCTCCGCCTGCCCAGCAGTGGGGCGCGCCCTTCGTCACTGCGTGGCTTGGCCATTCCCAAGGCCGGATTGATTTCTTTTTCCCTTCCTATTCATCCAGCACAGACAGGCTCAAGCTTACCTTTTCTTTCATTAAGATATGCAGGTGATAGAAATTTTAAAATTTGGAGTGCTGTGTTGGTTTACGAGTGTTATAAAATTGCACACCAGTCAGGTAGACAACCATCTGGAATTTTAGGGGAAAAATAATCTTATCTAAGCATGTTTTTGAGCCTCATAAAAATTGTTTCTCAAGATCTTTCCCGCGGACGTGGTGCCTGTGTGCTCCTCCGTGTCTCTGTGCTCCGGTTGTCAAAGTGCTTAGAGCTTTAATGCCACATAAACTCTGAAAGTGTCTTCTGACTTTTCTCCCTGTGAGGCCATAATGTTGCTCTAGAGGTTTGATACATTATGCAAGTAATTGCTGCGTGATACAGAGGGAAAGAAACGTCACTTGAAAGGTGGTGCTAATCTTTCACTCTGTGAAGCATGGTTGAGCAGTGGAGTGTTACTTACGTTCAGTTTGTTCTTCTGCCATTTCTTTCTCTTTTTCTTCTTGGTAGTTTCCCCTTGCTTTTCTTTTTAATCACGTGCTTCATAGTTTGGTGGCCTCCCACGTGGTTTCCTGTGTGCACTGGGGGGGGTATTTTGAAACAAAAGCGGGTTCGTACTTGTTTCAGGTCATGTTCCCTGGGACGGGCGGGGGGCTGGGGAGGAGGAGGTTTACCAGAAGGTGCTGTGGGATCAGTGTGGAGGGGAGCGGGGTGGGGCTGTGCAGACTGAAGGAGCGGCTCCCTGTGGGGCAGCTGTCTTCAGCTCTGGCCCCACAGTAGGGAGAGGGGTCGGCCATCCTGCGGGGAGTCTGGCCCGCATGGCAGGGTTTCCTCGGGAGCCCCCGCGTTCTTCCTGCCTCTCCACAGTGCAGCATTTCTCACCCTATCTCAATTTTTCTGCAGGGCTTCATAAACTTCACTTATCAAATACTCCAAGGGATTCAGAAACAGCAAAGCCTTCTGCAAATGGGCACCAGAAAGCCCTGTGAGACATGCAGCACCACTCTGCAATCAAGAGCCGAGACCCAGACTCGTGACATTCCTGCCGGTCAGGCACGTTTCCCAGCGGCCGTGGCCCACGGTCAGGGCCTGGGCCTGTCAGTGCCCCTTTTCACAATCTGAGAGCTTGGCTGCTGCAGGTCATCTTTTTATCTAACCTTGGGGTGGACCTTGTAGTGTCCAGCCATGCGCAGGCTCCTGAGGGAGCACAGCTCTGTCCTCTGCGGACACGCTTGCCCGCGCCCCTTGGCAGAACCACCCACGTGAGAATGTCAGAAAAGGCAAACTTGGGGGCTTTCTGAGGATTCAGTTGAATCTCATATACTTCCTTCAAAAGATAGACACCTACATAGAAGGTACCCTCGGTATTTAGACGTGAAGTTTCTGCCAGAAATGAAGATTTGCAGGTGTCATTACAGTGGGAGCTCTGGGACTGCAACGGTTGCAAGTTACGGTTTTCACTTCCTTAAGGCAAAGGCGAAGGCATGGTTCTGATTAGTGTTACAGAATGACATTGACTGGATTTTGAGTCAAGGGAAAAATACAGAATTCTTTTAAAACCGGAGCCTGGGTAGAACGCCGCAGGAATAGCTGCTCTGTCCGGCGTGAGAGGCAGCGTGGAGGCGCTCCCGAGCGCCGCTGCCCGGCGGCGTCCGTGCTTGAGTCGCCGTTACCTCTCGTGGCAGGGCTGCCGGCGCTGAGCACGCCTGTAACTTAGACTTTGCCTTGCAGGCTGTACATACACACAGTTTTTTTTTAAACTTTTTTTTTCAGAAATCCCTTGATTCTCTGTGCTCCTGTGTCCATCCTGTGAAACTGTAAGTGCTCTGTGGTAGAAGTCCCACTAGCGCTGTGCTCCTCAGGCTGTGTCACTTCTGTGCACGTCGACTTAACGCTCAGGCTCTAAGCAGTGACCGTCCAGCCCCACAGTGTGCAGCATCAGTGTCCGCGGGGTGGGGGTTCTGCCGGGTCCCTGATGAGCATGCAGCTGGTAGACTGCAGAGCACCCTTGGGATGGTTTCTGGACTTTGAGGCCACTGAATAAACACCCTCTGTTGCCATCCGCTGGGACAGAGCACCGGAAGCCACGCGTGCTCAGCCTGCGGCCCTGGGAACGCACACGTTCACGCGCGCTTCGTGTATGCTGGTGAGTGTCTGTGTTCAGACAAAAGAAAAGAACACTTTTCTCAAATGGTTGAATTTAAAGGGTTTTTTTTAAGAGAAATTTATGAAGAACGGGCTGTTTCCACTTAGAGCTAAAATAATAAGAAAACGTTACGTACACTCCACTGCGTGTGCCTCTCCTGTGTTTACACCCCTGCGCTCCGTCTCGAGCTTCTCTTCTTGTTGCAGTGCAGCTTAGCTTTAAAATATAAGAGCACTTTATGATTCTAAGCAACGTTCAGTACATACCACCAGTCTAGTACGGCCGAGTTTCTCAGCGTAAGACCCACATACTGGGAGAACGAGTGAGCTGTCTGCTTTCTGATTTTACTGGTAATGCTACCTATTTAAGTGTTCATTGCGAGTCTTGAATTTTACTCAGACTTGCCTGCTTCGAGCAGACCAGGCCAGGGGAAGCAGAGAGACCCCCCTGAATAAACAAACATCACTTGCAGCTCACACCGCTTCAGGGCGCATCCGGAGGGAGGGTTCTGGGCGACCGTAAGGTGCCTGAGATGTTTTGAGTAAAGTACTGAACTTTTCAATGTCTGTATCAATTCTCTGTTCACTTGAGAGTCTCCTCCCAGGACAGAAGTGAAGCCAGGCTTGGATTAGTTAGGGGTAAGATGTGTGACAAACTCCTGAAGCTCTTACTGGATGCTTCTTCACAGCCGTGTTGAACTAGAGGACACACAGCACGTGGAGGGGCTGTTTTTGGGTCGCAGGTGCCCTCTGGAAATGGGTGCAGGTCATCAGGTGCTCGGCCTGAAGGTGATGTGTACAGACACCTAGTGTGTCCCCGGTCACACACGTGAGAATCTGCCTCTTGATTGAGACCCTCACTGTGAGCGCAGGTGCTTCTCTGGGACCCTCGCTGGGGGCTGGTGTATGACACGTCGGCAGGAGCGGGTGGCAGCGCACTGCGGCCCAGCCCTCCTGGGGCCGGAAGGACGGGCGTCCTGCCGCTACAGCTGTGAGCGCCGGCGCAGGAGGGGCGGTGAGGCCTCAGCTCCAAGGTCCTGGCGTTGGCAGCCCGCCGGGCCCGGGGCTGCCCTCCTCCTCGGGGATGGAGGACGTCACAACCACAGTAAAGTCGTGCTGCTTTGCTTTCCTCTCCTCTCGGGGGCCTGTTGTAGCCGGGCGCTGGGGGCCGCGGTTGCGGTCTTCTGAGGGGCCTCACCGGTTCTCATTGTCAGTTGGCTCTGTGGTATTTAAGTAAATTGTTTTACAGTTAGAAAGTTTACAGATTTAACATTTGTAATGATTTTGACTGATTTTCCAAAACATATCTTTGATTTAATATTTATTTAGCTTTATGCACATTCTATATAAAAATAGACCTCAAAATATAAGACTTTATATGAAACTTACAGACATACACACGAATGTTAGCGCCTTCAGTGCCGTGCTGAGGGTTGACGCTGGAGGAGAGTGACCCATCCCTGGTGGTTCTTACTCTCGGCTGCGTCCAGGCTGCATGTACACCTGCCCTCAGGGCATTGACACCTGCCTGGCTTTGCTGGAGCACAGTCGACCTGCCTGTGGCCTCAGTAACCACCTGACAGCCAGCAACACAGGCTTACATGTTGAAAGCCCTGTGTGGCTCTCTGTGTGGTTCGCACAGTACGTAGAGGAGAAGGGGACAGTTCTCACAGTAATTTTCTTGAAAAATACGAGCATACGTGCAGTACTGACTTTAAACTTTAAAAAAATTGGTATGATGTTACTTTAAAAATAACGTTCGGATGCATGGAAAGTTGTTTTTGTTTACAGTGTTTTGTTTACAAGTCAGTCTTGTTTGTTTCTGTGAGATACTTTAGTGTGACTTGAAATATCTCAGAAATTAAAGGTTTACAAAAAAGTGATTTCACATTTTGGTTTACAAGCACTCAGATGTGTGTTTGTTTTTGTGTTTTTAATCTGAAAGACCCTCATGGCTAAAACTTAATGGTGCATGTAGGCCGCTGTCATTCCGGTGTCATTAGGGGCAATAATGACCCTGGTGCGACGCTGGGCTGAGGAGGTGGGTGTTTTCTGCCTTTTTGTTGGGGAGTTTTTGTATATCAGTTTCTTGCAACCTAAAATGTAGCATCAATAATTGAAATCACGGTTGTTAGCTTATTTAATCGCTCAAATTATTTAGATTTGATTTCTCTGACTTCTTCCATCGAAGGACTGAGCCACACCTGAATGTGGTCTGGGCGGCCTAGTCCGAAGTGCTGGGGAGGCAGATGCCCTTCGCTTCTGCTTCGCTCACTGCAAGCAGGAGCCTCTGTGTCAGTGGCTTTCAGACTTTTGGCCACTGTAACTCGCTCACACGCACACACACACTTCTGTACGTGTGAACAAACATTTAGCAGAACAGTCCTTACGTGACTGTGCGAGATGCATGCTGGTAGATTCTGTTCTGTTTTGTTGTTATTTTTTAAAATACTGGACACAAACCACCAAGTCATTTCCTGGTTGAAAGAAGAATGAATCTGGTTGAAAGAAGGGATACAAAGACCTTTTTTTGACTTTGAATATTGTTCAGGTAAAATTCATTATTACAAATGCCACTGAAGCAAAAGGATTGCATATGCAGATTACTTGTTGCACTGCAAAGAATGTCATTAAAATCAGTAGAAATTGCTAAAACTCTAAAAAGTGGATTATAAAATTTCAAAACTAGGTGATTTATCCATACATCTTAGAGGAGTAGCACTGGGGGCTCGCTGTCAAGAGAAGTTATTTAACTTCCAATTCTATGTGATTCAGTTTGGAGAAAGTTTCTTCAAGCTCAAATGAGATCAGGAAATTCAGACAAAACCCAGTTGTTCTGGATGTGGCTGGCACACTCTGCCCATGTTTGCCCCTGACTACCTGCATTGAGACGTAACTCACCTACCACAGGCTGGGCTGTACCCTGTCATCACCCAGCCCGAGACCAAAGAGAGCCCGGACGCGGCGGCATTAGAGTTCTATTGGGCGGGGGATCTTGCGTCAGAAGCAAGGAGGTCCTGGAGCCGTACCCCAGGCCATGGGGCAGGGGGAGGCAGGTTTCCAGTTACCAGGGGAACTGACGTCAGGTTGGCTCATTGGTTATCAGGGAAGCTGTCCTCATGGGGCCGTCCTGATGTAAGGTCTGGATCAGTCAGGAGCCGCTGGGGCTGGGGGCCGCCCACGGCCATTACTGACTAGGCCCTGTGACTACGGGGCAGGTCAGGCAGGTACCTGGGCGCAGGTGAGGGCGTGCAGAGAGCAGGAGAAGTTTATCTTGGGGGGCCTGATCACACACCATGAAGTTCACTCTCAAAGCATGCAGGTCATGGGTGTCTAGTGTTCAAAACCAAAATTTAGCCAAGTAAA